ATTCTATTTCCAGTTTACTCTGCTTACTCATCCTTCAGTGAGTTACTCGTGCATGAACCTTCCTTGCCAGCTAGATTGTGGACATGTTGTAAGGAGTGAGAGAGTATTTTATTCATTTCTATATCCATAGTGCTTGATTCATAGAAAATCTGAGTAGTACTCTGAAGTTTTCTGACAGCCCACTTGAAAGCATAGATTTCTTGTCATCTCAACCCCACACTGCCAAAATCAGATTTTGGGGTTTTTTGTTGTTGTTGTTTCATTTTTTTTTATGCTGATCCTAGGCCTTGAACTCAGCCTCTGCTCAAGGCTAGTACTCTACCATCTTGAGCCACAGTGCCACTTCTGGCTTTTTCTGAGTAGTTTATTGGAGATAAGAGTCTCATGGACTTTCTTGCCTGGGCTGGCTTTGAACTGTGATCCTTAGATCTCAGCCTCCTGAGTAGTTAGGATTATAGGCGTGAGCCACTGGTGGCGCCCAGCTGAAATCAGATTTTTAAAGATATACAGACACCAAAAACAGGTACACAAGATAGAGCCATGTTCTGTCTTCCCAGCACCACCTCAGAATTTCATTCATGATTTCACTTTTTAGTATAATATGTTGTAACATTACTGAATTGCCTTTCTAGTTCCCAGGAAATGAGTAGACTTGAATAAAGATAGGAAGATAGAAGAGTTTGTGTCCCATAATGGCTGAAAAGGAGCTGACAGCTTTCCGTCAAATGAAAGTGGAAAGAATAGAAAATGATAATAATGACTCATCATCAGAGAAAGGTGATTCCAAGCCCTATGTCCTCTGCTTCAAAAGGAAATATATTCTGTGAAATAGTTTATAAACATTTTCTATTCAAAGTGATTGAGACAACCATACCACCTAAAGAACTCACAGGAACTTGCTTAATTTATTTTGTGTGGAACAATGAATTTCTTAATGAGGCTAGATAACAGTTCTGTCACATCTCAGGCCTATTTATCACAAATAAAAAAAATCTATTAGACAAAGAAAATGTTTCTTCAGAGCAAGCTTTCTTCCCTTGGTTTCTTACCATAACATACAAATTTATACTTGAAGTTGGCCCCAGGTAAAGGTAATATAGGAGTTATTCACAGAAATATCTTAGTGCAAGACATTTTAAAGTAATAATTGTTTTCTTTGTGTTCTATGCTATTTCTAATCTTGGTATAACCTGTGCCTTTGACTCATTTGTTCTTATTCCTTCTTATTTATCCACCGTCCTGTCATGGTATTTAGCTGCACAATTGAATAGTTTCTAGGAATATGTAGTCTCTAAAGTCTGTTATCTGGAGTCAGAATGTGAAGCTCATACATAAAATCAGTTGGAAAACACATAATTTTAGGATCAAACATTAAACTCTGGTATCTAAATTATGAGTGTGATATAAAATTCAGAGATGAGAAAGATTAATATGGGTAGAAATAAAACAAATATGAAGAATTCTGAGGTGGAAATGAACTCTTTATAGCTGCAGCAAAGCTCTGTTTTCCCTTGGAAATGTAGTGTGGTTTCCACAATCGGCCCTTCAACCCAGCATCCCCTGCTTATATAGTTCAGAAAGTTCTGAAGTTCCCTGTTGGCTTGCTTATTCTTGATCCTCACTGTTATTTGAACAGAAGTGGGCATATAACATGTGTATGATTAAATACTTGGATTAAAACTTGAAGAAAAAATAAAGTACTATGACTTATTATATAAACATCTATTATAGCATAGTGTAAAAACTTAATAAGCCATACTTTTGTGGCATATAAATAAAGACTAACAGGGCTTAATTTATCCATACTCAAACTTCTCCCTCTCCACAAGTGGTATCCCACCCACCTGACTCTCTGCCCCCCTCCTCCTCCCCCCCCTCCTCCCCCGCCCCCCGGTCTGGGTCCTCGCCATGGAGCCTACACACTCTTCCCTGCAACACTGCTATTCCTCAAAAATATTTTTGGAACTTCTCTTTTGAGTTTTCTTCAAAGGGTGTGATTTATTCTTTTCATTATCCTCAGAATCTTATTTGGCTAAGAATAGATTTAATTTGGGGAAGCAAGGGTCACTTAGGGCTAGGTCTGGTGAGTAAAGTGGGGGACCAGCTGAGGAGTGCTATTTGGGGTTACTGTTATTACTGACCATAAGTAATGAGAGTACGTTCTAGCTGGATTCATAAAATAACCAAAAGTAATTATCTTTTTAAAGTGAGCTGCAGGTTTTATTCTGTTAAAACCAAGTCTGATTGTCCTCGTAATTTTTCTGCCCCAGAATTAATCATGACCCCCTAAATCCAAAGCTGCCTTCCCTGGCTCTCAGATCCTTACCAGGCCTATCATTCTTGCTTGCTGTATCTCCACTACAAAGCCTTTTCTGAGACCCCCATTCTGTGGCGCCCTTACTTTTTCCACTTAGCATGGGAGGGCCTTCTCAGGGCTCAGCATACTGTTCTAAGGTGTCCTCTCTTTTGAAAACCAGCCTAGCCCCTACTTCTGACAGGGAATCTACTTTGTTCACTGAGTTTATAGCTAGGCTTCATTTTGAGCTGTGAGTATCCATAGGTGCTGTGCCCAGGAAAACACACGAACACGCAGAATTTTGCACATGAGGACCTTGCTCATGGACTTCATTAAGCACCCCCTTCTACTCTCCACCATCACACAGTGGAGCTTTATTGTACAAGGTATTGGGTCAGTCCTTCACTGTTCACCCTTCTAATTCGTCTGTTTCCTAAGGGCAAGGAAACTATTTCTCAGCTCTCCTTTCTAGATCCACCAAGATGCTGATGACTATCCGATGGTAGCATTCTGTACATCCCAAGATTTAACAGATCTATTCTGTTAACTTCCTGCCTTCCACAATGCTGTAACCATTTTTAAAAGCGGCAGAGCTCAAAAGGTTTTTTAAAAATGCCTGTAAGATAAAAGCACAGTGTAATCAGCATACATTGCAGGGCATTCCGTGGCCCTAAATGACATCCCTGAAATGTACTTCTCAGGAGATAATTCTTACCATCTTACTTTGCCAGAGAAATAAATACAAGAAGGCCCAGAATGCCATAGCTCCTATTAGATAGCAGAGAAGAGTTTATCCCTCTACACAAATGACACACATCTTCTTTCCTGCTGTTACACAGAAAAGTATATGCTGTTGGTTTCTGCTGCCAACATAATCACATTGTATTGTTAAATTGGCCAAGCCTGCATCAGAACGTAAGCAGCACCTTTTATATCAGACATGGGTTATTTGAATCAAAAACTAAAAGAACTCCTTAGTCAAAATATGTGGGGTAACAATATTTTGAATAATATAATTTACTGTTTCACTAAGTGCTTAAAAATTTAGCCATTTTGTCTGGGCACTGTGGCTCCCACCTGTAATTCTAGTTACTCAGGAGGCTGAGGTCTAAGGATCACAGTTTGAAGCCCGCCTAGGTAGAAAAGTGAGATACTTATCTCCAGTTAGCAACTCAAAAACTGGAAGTGGAATTGTGGCTCAAAGTGGTAGCACACTCACTTTGAGTGAAAAGATCTCAGGGACAGTGCCCAGGCGCCAAGTTCAAGTCCAACAACTGCCACAAAAAAGAAAAAAAAGCCACTTGGTATAGAGGATAGAACCACTAATTTAACTTTTATTTGATCTTGGGTGATCTTTCTAAGTATTCATGACTATTGCAACATTCCATCGCTGTTAAGTCAGAATGATATCCAGAAACATATTCTGACAGTGGTGCATTTGTTGTTGGCCTTTCTCTTTCTTTTTTTCCCCCAGTACTCAAGGCCTCATGCTTGTTAGGTGGGTGCTCTGCCACTGAGCCATACCTCCAATCCATTTTTGCACTTTTAGGGGAGTCTACCAGAGCTAGAAATCAGGAAATCCTGTTTCATTCACAGCTGGCACTCTAACAATTGAACTATCCTCCAGTCCAGTCTCTCATTTTTCTGATTGATTTGAGGTCAAGTCTCACAGACTTTTCTTCCTGGACTAGCTTTAAACCACAATTCTCAGGTCTCAGCCTCCTAAGTAGCTAGGATTATAAATACAAGTTACCAGTGCCCAGCTGAGATGGAATTTTATTTTATTTTATTTTATTTTTGGGTCCAGTCGTGGGGCCTGAACTCTGGGCCTGGGTGCTATCCTTCAGCTCTTCAGCTCAAGGCTAGTGCCCTACCACTTGAGCCACAGCACCACTTCCAGCTTTTTTCTTTTTGCTTATGTGGTGCTAAGGAATTGAACGTAGGGCCTCAAGCATGCAAGGCAAGTGCTCTACCACTGAGCCACCTTCCCAGCCCTGAGATGGAATTTTAGATATTTCAGCTAGGGCTGGCCTAGAACTATGAGTCTCGCAATCTTGTGTGTGTGTGTGTGTGTGTGTGTGTGTCTGTGTGTCTGTGTCTGTCTGTCTGTCTGTTGGTCAGTCCGTCCATCCGTCCGTCAGTCGGTTGGTCAGTTGTGCAGCTTGAACTCTGGGCCTGCGTGCTGTCCTTGAACTCTTCAGCTCAAGGCGAGCGCTCTACCACTTGAGCCACAGTGCCACTTCTGGTTTTCTAGTGGTTAATTGGAGATAAAAGTCTATGAGACTTTTATGAGTCTCATAGACTTTTCTGCCCAAGCTGGCTTTGAACCTCGATCCTCAGATAGCTAGGGTTACAAGCGTGAGCCACCAGGGCCTGGCTTAGTCTCCCAGTCTTGGCCCTCCCTCTTAGCTAGGAAAGACAGTTGTGAGCCAGTGTCATCCAGATGCCTTTATGCTTTTTAAAAATACATGTTACCAGCTCTTTTTTCTTAAAGTACAATTTGTATTGTTTTGTTACAAATTCAAGTTCTTGCAAGGTGTGGCTTCTGTTTTCTTCAGGGAAAGGGTTTCTGTTTTAATTATTAAACCACACTTAAAAGATGATAGAATTTCCTGAAATAATTTATATTAAAACTCATTAGACTTTAATGTATTGTGGACAGCTTTACTATATTAACATCTTTGGGTTTTTTCCCTATGTCTAGTTAAAAAATCTAAGTTTAGAAGAGCTACAGATGCGGTTAAAAGCATTGGACCCCATGATGGAACGAGAAATAGAAGAACTTCATCAACGATACACTGCAAAAAGACAGCCCATTCTGGATGCAATGGATGCTAAGAAAAGACGGCAGCAGAATTTTTGAGTCTAATTTTTCTCTGTTTTTATAGCTACTCTCGAGACCAAGAAACCACTAAGAATTGAAGGAATATTTTGACTTTTTTAGTCCCTAAGATGTATGTTCTTCAACTAGGCAAAGGTCAAAAATTTATGATGGTACATACCTAGGTAATTTCCCAATGGATAGAATTTACAATCATACCCACTGTGCTTTCAGTTTTAAATGATGAGGACAATAGAAATGTGTTCTTCTTTTTTCTCTTTCAGCTATTATTCCAGCAATAAAACTAATCTAAAATGAAAGCTATATTAAAGAGACCTTGAAAATCCAAAGCTATTGTTTTACTTGTACAGCACTGAAGGGCTTTATGTTACAATATTCTTTATTCCCATCTAGAAGCCTATTTATTTTATCCCCTTAGCTAGATTTATTTATTTATGCTATTTCACTTTTTGTTTTAAAAAAGACAACATCAAGATAGCTTTGGTGAAGGTGGGAACATACTAATAGGTTATAATGCACAACCAAATTATATAAGCAGGGGACTGTGAGTGCGTCCTTAGATTTCCAGGACAGCTTTTCAGTAGAAACTAATCAAAAATAGCAGTAGTACCCAAATGGACTAGATCCTTTTTATATCGAAGCAATAATTCCATTTTTACCTTTTGAAATTTTAAATTTTTGATTTTGATACAAACATATATATGTCAAACAGAAGTGTAATATTTAAAACCAAAGAAATCAGTGGCCTTGAAAAAATGTATGGTAAATATTTGAAGAAATGAAATCTTAAGATAAATGTGATTTGTTAACATTGTTTCATGTTTCATGTGTAAGTCTGATAGCTAAACCAAATCAAACTGTAATAAGCTCATCAAGTTTATTTCTGTGAAAATGTGCTCTAATATCACAGGCCGTTAGTTGGTTTCATTTATTTCCTGGGAATTGGTAAACACCATGTGCCTGAGATAACACAACAGCAAAAAACATTTGTATTGAGCTGTGCAAGCCTTGGGAACTAAAAAAAATGGAAAAAGATTAAAACCATTAAAAAGAAACTCATTTGTAGGCTGAATGAACATCTGCATAATTGTACTGGGACCAGTTGTTGACTAAGCTGTATATGGCCATCTTGACAGTGTTTGTCCTTTTGTGTGTTTCATTACAATGTGTAAGTCAAAATGACAAATAAACTTTACTGTTCTATCCAGCACATTTCATCTCTGTATCATTTTTAAAACTTATGACCAGGACTCTTGTCTTGTCCAAGCAAGGAAGGTCTGTTTAGCAGCACAGCATTACATGATGCATTCATAGCAACCCTAAAACTTCAGTGGCTTCACATAGCACAGGTCATTCCTCACTGGAGCTCCAGGCACATCCCACGTTGGCAGGGCTTCTTCTCCACACCCAGGGGCACGCCAATGCAACAGTCATGCTCACCACAGCCAGGAACCTCCACCTGGTGAGTCAGCAGCAACTCATTAGTCAGCCACAGCTCTGTGTTCAAAACTATTCCCATGACCACATCTAACTTGCAGGAAGCAGGAAGGTGCAACCTGACCATGTGACTAGAGTTGGCATTCACTGTCTGTTATCCTCAGAAAGCTTTCCTTCTTTTCTAACATGGCATTTGGGTCCAAGCTAAGGCCCCTTGGTGGCACTTGTCTCTGCTCTTTTGAGTCCTAATAAGTTGTATATTATCTTATTGCATATAAGTTTAAGCTTTTGAAAACAGTAATGAATAATAAATATATAAAGGTTATTAAAAATGACACATGATTAAAAATAACAGCTAATCCTGCACCTAACAAAGCCTTGTTTAATGAGATGTTTTCAATTTAGTGCCTAAGCTAAACATTCTTGGAGTCTGTTTGGGACAGTCAGATGAGTTAACTAACTAAAGCACTATCCTTTTTTCTCCCTTAATTCTTTTTCCACTAGGTGCCAGTGGTTCACCCCTGTAATTCTAACTACTTGGGAGGCTGGAATCTGAGGATCGTGGTTTGAAGTCAGCCTGTCTCCAGTTAAAAAGCTGGAAGAGAACTAACCATGAGCAGAAAAGCTCAGAGACAGTGCCCAAGTCCTGATTCAAGCCCCAGGATTAACACACGCACACATACAAAATTGTTTTTCCTTTTACCAGCTTATTACCTTGTCCTAATTTGATAGAATCAAATAATGATGTGCTATCATTTAAGCCACCTACATCAAATGGACAAAAAGTATGAAGATGGTTTCTCTACAGAAAGTGGGGACTGCTAACCACTTTTCCAATCCAGTCTGAACAGCAGTCTTTCTTTTAATAAGTGTTTGTGCTAGAAGACTTTATACCCTATTGTTACATCAGTCTAGTTAAATATATACAGATACATATATTTAAGAGAATTTAAAGCAATGAATAATTGTTTTGTTTTAGAGCTGAATAAAGTCAAAATATTTGTACAATAATATATTTAAATTCTTTTCCTCCTCCTCACTCTGTCCCTACCAAAGAAAAGAACTTAAGGATATATTTTTGAAGAAACCCAAGCCATAAAAAAAAACCTTCAAGTTTAGTTAAGCCTTGAAAAATCATGACATTCAGGAAAGAAAACTTCATAGTTACTTTAATGAGTTTAAGAAGAAGCCTTTTATTTTGACCTTGGTTGCTGAGAACTTTCCAAAAATAAGTAAGCGTGCTTTCTGCACGCCTCCATCCTTTAATAGATCCAGTATTGTGAATGTAATTGAAGCTAATGAGTCAAGGTTTCATCTCACTGAAAAGCTACTGCTGTTGTATACCTTGTCCTATGGATAAGAAAGTTTTGTGTTTGCTTTTATGAACTTTGATGACTCATGTCTACAGGATTACAGTACTGTTGTTACACAGCTCATTTTAGCATGAGCACTTTTCTGTCCAAAATACAAGCTAATTTGGCTTAATACAAATTGAAAATGAAAATGCCTTTATTTAAATGATGTCAAAATAATGGCATCTGTTATTTGGGGATACCTACATGTCAGACACTGCTAAACCACCTTACATGTATTACTTATGTGCTTTTATATTCTGTTTATTCACTGGATATGAAATAACACCTCTAGGTTTAACACTAGGCTTTATTCACTGACAGGAAGGTTTCCTACAAGGCATTATATAATACCTTAATAAGATATTTAACTTAGTCACAGGAAATCCTCTCAAATTACTGACACATTGACATTCAATAAGCAGGCTATTTTTGTTTCTTATTCTATATGTTAAAATTTAATCATTAAAATCAACCCTGCTGGCTTATGTCTCTAATCTCCTCAATATGAGAGGTAGAGATGGAAAGACACAGTTTGAGGCTAGATTGGGCAAGAAGTTAGCAAGACTTTATCTCAAAAAATTGAGCTGGGTTTGTTGGCATTGCCTATAATCATTGACAGGTAAAAGAAGATTGAGTCAGAGGCTAGCCCCAAGCAAAAATATGAAACTCTCCCTGAAAATGGGGATTGGGCTGTGGCTCCAGTGGTAGGGTGCCCCCTCCAGCAAACATGAAACCCTAAATTCATTCTAGTATCACCACGAAAAAGATGAAAATTGATCCTGAAAATACTGATATTCTACATAGAACTTTTAGAAAACAGGAAGATGGAGTTCCAGTATATTACTAAACTGTTATTGGGCACAGGCACTTAATTAGATATCAGCAAAATGTTACTTGGTAGAACAAGGTGGGGTTTCTTGGCGGGAGCTGGTTTGGTTTGGTTTTGTTGGAATAAGAGTCTAGGCATCAGGTCTAATGAGAACTGTTTTTCTTTGCTGTTGGTGATGAGACCTGGACCTGGGAAACTTTTCTATACCTTAGTTGTTTTGTCTTCAAGAAGTCAATTCAGCTTCTGTATATTCCACTTCTGTCTGTTCTGTCTGTTCTTTTCTGTCTGGAAATAACGTTCAGGTTCAGCTATTGCTTCCTACTTCCTTTCTGGGTCATAAACAGATTGGGGGGGGCGGGGGGAAGCAACCATCTTGGAAACAATTCCAAGTTCCTACTCTTCTAACAAGGGCCACACCATTAACCAGTCCCTGCCACTACTTTCTTCATTTGATTAAACAATCCAAACTTTTTAATTTTTATCTTTGCTCCTAACTTTTCTGCTATGAATTGAGAATGAACTCTGCTGCTTCCTGGTACTTAAGGCCTGCAGAGTGTCCCCACTAGCATCTGGGACCCTACCTCCATTATTGCTGTAGTGGAGACTTGTCCTCCACCAAATGACTACTTCCCCTCTATTTGCCTTCTTTCTGGGTTATAAAGTTCTTTTGTGTGTGTGTGTGAAAATACCATACAGAGGGGTTACACAATTACTTGAGCAAGGTAATGAGTACATTTCTTATGGGTTGTTAAGTTCTTAAAAGCAGAGATGTTATTAATCTATCTTGTTTCCTGAGTGCTTTCCCAGTATATCAGATATAAGGTCTTAAAGTTTCATTGATAAAAGTTGCTACCATATCATTCAATTTGTGAGCATCCAACAAGTCATGTGCTTCTGAAGTATCTCAAAACTTTACAACAAGATGTATGTTCCTTTTACTGGAAATGAAAAGGGAAGATTGAAAGGATTAGAGAGATTAGTTAATGTCACTGTGGGCTTTAAACTTCTATCTGTTTGAATTCAAAATCTGCTTTTACCACTAGACCACATTACCTAATACATAGGAGGTCTGGTTTTAGAATGTGGGACAGGGTTACTAAGTCTGCCTGCTGAGCTATCGAAGAATGAGCTAATTAAAACTCAGGGATGGTTACTATTAGCTGATTTTACCTTTTTCACATTTCAGTGGCAAAATGGCATCCTTTCTTTCTGCATGTAGAGAAAAAAACGCAGGGTGGCTTTATTGAGTTTACAAGATCAGTTATACAAAAAGACGTCTTTATTAGGATACATGTGGAGTTTTTGTCCTTTGAATTCTGTGCTTTTTTTTTTTTTGGTAAACTATAATGTATTCTATTCTTTCCCTTGCCAATTTTTCTTTGAGAATGAATACTTTTGAGAAACAATAAGCCTCAGAAGTCACATGAGCTGCCAGGTGCCGGTGCCTCACGCCTGTAATCCTAGCTACTCAGGAGGCTGAGATCTGAGGATGGCAGTTCAAAGCCAGCCTGGGCAGCAAAGTCCATGAGACTCTTATCTCCAATAAACCACTGAGAAAACCAGAAGTGGAGCTGTGGCTCAAGTGGTAGAATGCTTGCCTTGAGCTGAAGAGCTGAGGGACATCGCCCAGGCCCAGAGTTCAAGCCCTACAACTGACCCTCCGCCCCAAAATAAAGTCACATGAGCTGGATTTGAATCCCAGTTCTTCCTTGGCTGTCCTGGACAAAACTCTTCAACCAATGTGCACTTCGGTTTTTTGTTTTTTTTAAATCTGCAGCAGTTAACGAAGCTCAAATGTTCTAGGACATGTAGAATATTTAATGAAGATCCTATCATAGGACACATGGAGATTGCTTACAAAATTTTAAACCATAGCTTGATGACTAATCCTAGTTACTTAGGAGGCTGAGATATGATGATTGTAGTTTCAAGTCACTCTGGACAAAAAAAAAAGTGACAAACTATGTCTAAGAATAAAACTAGGCATGGTAACACACACTTGTGTTGCCATCATAAGTAGAAGGATTGAGAGCCAAGACCAGACTGGGGGGAAAAAAAGATTCTATCTGAAAAACAATGGCTAGACACAGAGCTCAAGTGGTAGAGCACTAGCCTAGCAGCCATAAGGCCTTGAGTTCAAAGTCCAGTCCAGCCAATAAAGAAGTAAATATAGTTTAAATAAATTTCACTTAATGCACTGGTACTAGGACTTGAATTCAGGGCATTGGGCTTGAATTCACCTTTTTTAGCTCACTCTGGCCCTCTGACTCAAACTGTACCTCACGAGTCCAATTTTTCTGCAAGTTAATTGGACATAGAATCTCATGAATTTTTCTGCCCAAGCTAGCTTCAAACTGAGACCTTCAGACATCAGCCTCCTTACTTTTAAAAAATTTTTAAGATGCTGTACAGAGGGGTTACAGTTACATGAGAAAGGTAATGAGGACATTTCTTGTCGAACATCGTTCCTCCTTTTTAAGGCTAGTTTTCTATTGTTGATTTGTGAAGACCATCAGGAAATTCCAAATTTATAATCTCCACGTGTGTTTTCACTAAAGTTTTGGTGTTCTTGGTCCTTAGAAATAAGGA